GTCGCCTTTCTGGATGCCCTCCCACTTGGGTGCTGTGATGCTGAATACCTTGACTACGCTAGGAGGAGTTATCCGCTAATAGACTTGAGTCAACGTGGAGGTGGGTGTAAACATGGGGGGGGGGCAGGATGGGGGGCTTTCAATGCCGTGACAGATGAGCGCTGGTAATCTAACAACCCCCTCCTCCTCCCTCCGCAAACCCACGACTACCAACGAGTAGGAGGGACGCACTTTGTAAATTGTATCTTGAGGAGATTTGAGTCCAAGTTGCGTGCGAGTGCAGAAAAGCTGACATCAAAAGCTGTGCAATGAATTCAACTGCTGAAATGGAAACGGGGTGATGTGGAATGTTTTGAAGCGGGCCACAAAGGTGGAAGGACCCAAGTGTGTTCAATATCGCACAATTTGAGCAGGTGACGAGTGTCTAGTTTTGTTTTTGCTCAAAAGACCTTTTCAGTGGAAGGACCCAAGTGTGTTCAACATCGCACAATTTGAGCATGTGACGTGCGTCTAGTTTTGTTTTTGCTCAAAAGACCTTTTGACCCAATTGTCATTTTGATCCATTTCCTGATTTGTGTGGTGTGCATTTGTTGCGACGCTCCCTCCGCGCCGGAGATTTACTTCGGGAACACGCACGCAGGTTCCCGCTTCGCCATGGAAACAAGCATGCGCCATCGCAACGCAGGGAGGCGACAGAAGAGTCCTTCTTTGTCCAATGTGGAGCAGGCACGGCTCCAGGATTTGTTTGGGGGGCGGGGCAAAGGGGGCGCTTCACAGATACAAAATCCTTTCTAAATCCATTTGAGAACACCAAATAAAATGTTGGGAGGTCTCCGCAGATTTGTGAGGGGCCAAAAAAGGGGTCTGATTTGTGTGGTGTGCATTTGTTGCGACGCTCCCTCCGCGCCGGAGATTTACTTCGGGAACACGCACGCAGGTTCCCGCTTCGCCATGGAAACAAGCATGCGCCATCGCAACGCAGGGAGGCGACAGAAGAGTCCTTCTTTGTCCAATGTGGAGCAGGCACGGCTCCAGGATTTGTTTGGGGGGCGGGGCAAAGGGGGCGCTTCACAGATACAAAATCCTTTCTAAATCCATTTGAGAACACCAAATAAAATGTTGGGAGGTCTCCGCAGATTTGTGAGGGGCCAAAAAAGGGGTGGGGGGAGATGAATGAGCGAGTCAGACTTTCGTGAAAACCTGCTACGTGCTTCCCTCTAGGGGAGAAGAGACGGAACTGCACGTGTGCCTGCATCCCGTCCGTTTTTGAACGACATTTACACAAGAAGGTTGCCTTTTAAGGGCATTTTTTCCCATGTAAAGATGAATGTTTGGTGGAAGGACAAAAAAATATGTAAACTTTGAGAATTTATGTCAGATTTTGTTAGAAAATTATTTTTGTATTATTTTTAATTTGCGTACAGTTTTCGGGGTTTTTCGTTTACAATTTTGAGTTTGGTGTTTTTTTTTCAAAAAAGGTTTTGTTCTCAGAAAAAAAGTTGCAGTCATTGTTTTTATAATTTCTCAAAAGTTTTTGGTCATAATTTTCTATTTTCGAATATGGTGCATTTCCCCCCAAAAAGTGTTTCTTTATTTGTTGCTCTTTTCTGTGAGTTATTCATTCGTTTTCCCAACGGGAAGTTATTATTCTCATTTTGATTAAAAAAAAAAAAAGTTTGACGTCTGGTTGACAAATGATGGTGAAACGTCGGGCGGGGGCGCTAGCTTCGACCAAGTCAGCAATCAATCAGGCGTGTGGGTTTGTAATTTTGGAGCGGCCGACCTCGTCAAGTTTGCTCCTCCCACCTGGCCTTGCCACTTTTGCTGTTGGGGGGGCGCTATTTGCCCGAAGCTCCTCGAGCGGAATGGACGTGTGGGCACCGGCCCCTGCGGACGGCTCAACCAAAGGCTGGTACCTGGCGCTGATGGCGCCCAACACCAAAGGGCCGGAGTTCGCCTGGCTGGACCCGTCCAGACTTTACTGCAACGCGCAGGTATTGGCTTCACTTGAAACGCACCGCCGACCGACCGAGTGACCGAGCGACCTGTCGCCCTTCGTCCCCCCCCCTTCCGCCACGACGCCGTCGACCTGGTGGCCGGCATCGACGCCATGGGTTTCATTCTCGGTACCGACTCGCTCGCTCGCTCGTTTGACCCGCCGAGACGAAAACGGGAGGGGGGGGGGGCGGCCCGTGGGGGTTGTTATTCGAAACTGGGCATGTCAAAAGCATGTGCATTTGTTTTTAGGGGTAGCGGTGACAACTCCCAAGAGGGCACGCATTTGAGTTAAGCAGACGGGCGGGCGGACGTCCCCCCGGACAAAGCTTGAACTCGGCGAAAAAGTCTTCCCAAACCAATACTGGGTAGATGACCAAGCCGATGTTTGCACTTGAAGCCGGGCTCGGCTGGTTCCATGTTT